GCAGGGGCACACCACAACCCAGCTAATTTTTGTGTTTTTGTAGAGACAGGGTTTCACCATGTTGACCAGGATAGTCTTGATTTCTTGACCTTGTGATCCGCCCGCCTCGGCCTCCGAAAGTGCTAGGATTACAGGCGTGAGCCACCGCACCTGGCCTAATTTTTGTATTTTTAGCAGAGATGGAGTTTCACCATGTTTGGCAGGCTAGTCTCAAACTCCTGACTTCAAGTGGTCTACCCGCATTGGCTTCCCAAAATGCTGGGATTACAGGTGTGAGCCACCGTGCCCAGCCTCCTTAGAGTTTCCTATTTTGCTTATTTGCTTAATGTCTGAGCACAAATATTTTTTCATGTTGTTAAAGTTTTTGTCATTTTCATCTTTATGATATGTAACATTTTGGATTGCTTAGTATGTTGATATCCTTATCAACTTTATGATTTTGTGATAGACAGTTTGCTTTGTAGTTGTTTCATAATATTCAATTATGGTATGGAATTTATCTTATGATTACACATTATATACTTTTTAAAAAGAAGAGAAGCCTACTTTGGCCATATTTTTCCTTTTCACATTTTTTTTCCTTTGGAATTCTTCAGGACACATATTGAAGGAAATGTGGATATTGGAGATTTGACCTGGGAGCAGAAGGAAAAAGTCTTGAGATTGCTCTTTGCAAAAATGAATGGCTGTGCTTCTAGGTAACTCCCTATTTCTACAGTGAAATATCAAGTTGTTATCAAATCTAGAAACCACATAGGAGCAGTGAACTTACTCTTCTTACTTAGAACTAAAGGGATGGGAAAGGACCAGAAAATATAACAAGGCCCTACTGCTTAACTGCTCTAACTCCCAGAGATAAAGAATGGGAGATTAATGAATAAGCATGAAAATGAAAGATGAATTGGAATTAAACGGGGAGGGGAAAGATTCATCTTAGATGTTTAAGGTAATGATTACTAGGGAGTTACAGTATTGCTCAGCTGAATCAGTGGCAACTGAAGAGAAACATAACAACTATTAAGATTTTATTGGTTTGCAAAGTAAATATATATATATATATTTTGAGACAGGGTCTCACTGTGTCACCCAGGGCAGAGTACAGTAGCACAATCACACCTCCACTTCCCAGGCTCAAGTGATCCTCCCACCTCAGCCTACTGAGTAGCTGGGACTAGAGGCACGTGCCACAATGCCTGCCTGGCTAATTTTTTTTTTTTGAAAAGGAGTCTCACTCTGTTGCCCAGGCTGGAGTGCAGTGGTGTACTCTCGGCTCACTGCAACCTCCCCCTGCCAGGTTCAAGTGATTCTCGTGCCTCAGCCTCCTGAGTAGCTGGGATTACAGGCATCTGCCACCATGCCCAGCTAATTTTTCTATTTTTGGTAGAGATGGGGTTTCACCATGTTGACCAGGCTGGTCTCGAACTCCTGACCTGAGGTGAGGTGACCCACCTGCCTTGGCCTACCAAAGTGCTGGGATTACAGGCATGAGCAGCTGTACCCGGCCCTAATTATGTAATTTTAGTAGAGATGGGGTTTCACCATGTTGGCTGGGCTGGTCTCAGACTCCTGACCTCAGGTGATCCACTTTCCTTGGCTTCCCAAAGTGCTGGGATTACAGGCATGAGCCACTGCACCTGGGCAGTTGTATATTTTAAAATAGATAAAGGAGTGTAACTGGATTGTAACACAGAGTATAAATGCTTGAAGGGTTGGATACCTCATTCTCCATGATGCAATTATTTCACATTACATGCCTGTATCAAAACATCTCACATACCCACAAATATACGTACCTACTATCTACCCACAAAAATAAAAAATTTTTAAAAATTTAGATATGTAAAGAAAGTATGAAGGCATGAGGAGACACTGCCTCATTTTCTTTGTTGACTTTTACCCACCACAGGAAATATAACCAGAGTTCTAGGCCTCCAGTTCCAGATTATGTTGTTTCTGACAGTGGAGAAACAAAGGAATTTGGGTAAGAGCTTTCTTGCTAAATTAATGAACATGAGCCCAACACAATGATTCTTGTGGTCATCTTGAATGTGCTAATTGAATGAAAGTAATATGACAAGTCTGTTACTCTAAACCAGGTTTCGTGTTTGTAGAGTTGTTGACAGCTCTGTTATTTTGTCATTATTGCAGGGATGAAAGTAAGCTTCAAGGTCAAACCTTTATCACCCAGCAAGTTCCAATATCAGACTCTTCTGATAAAGTGGTGCTACCCACTATTCCAAAAGGATCTCAAGAGTCTGACACAGTAAGGAGTCTGTATCTAACCAAACAATACATATTGTCACCTTTCCCCATGTTGCTTCTTGCTAAATCACAGTTATTTTCTCTACTAGTTAAGAGACTTCAGGGATCAGTGGAATGAGTAATTAAATAGCATGAGTAGATTAAATAATTTTTTTTTTTTTTTTTCAGATAGAATCTCACTCTGTTGCCCAGGCTGGAGTGCAGTGGTGCGATCTTGGCTCACTGCAACCTCTGCCTTCCGGGTTCAAGTGATTCTCCTGCCTCAGCCTTCTGAGTAGCTGGGACTACATGCACATGCCACCACGCCTGGCTGATATTTTCTGTTTTTAGTGGAGACTGTGTTTCACCATGTCAGCCAGGATAGTCTTGATCTCCTGATCTTATGATCCGCCCACATCAGCCTCCCAAAGTGCTGGGATTACAGGTGTGAGCCACTGTGCCCGGCCAGATTACATAAATTTTAAAAGCAATATCCACACAAATACATGTATATTATACTAATGCAAATGCAAATTTGTGCCTCTTTTAGTGCAGAGATCTATAGGTTGCCTTTTGAAGTAAGCAGCCTAGCCAAAATGTGTACTATTTTTTATGTAAGAGTAAGCAAAGTGACCTTGTTACTGTTGGCTTTGGATCACAGGTGGGAAGTCAGAGTCATTATAACCTAGGGGACAAAGGCTAATAAGGAAATATGAAATGATTTTTTTAAAGCCATGTTTTTCTCTTTAAGAGCTTTTTATTTATAATTTGTTATTCATAATCTATTAGTACAATGTAGAATCTTGAGAAATTTCAAATAAAGCCACATTAGAGCACAAAGAAAATAAAATACTGACTTTTTAGCTGCAATCACATTAATATAACTGATGAGATTTTTTTTTCATCTAAGAAATAAGAAACTCTCTGAGTAGCAAATAGCTGGCCAGACAAGTTGTTTCTAATTAGAGCAGCACAATTCTGATTAGTGTTTTTTTTTTAGAAGTGATTTTCCTTAAATGAAAGGAAAATGTTAGGAGTCTCTGTGACTATATTTAATTTCATTTGGAATTTAGACAATAATGACCTTTGATTCAACCCAGCTTATAGTTGTTGGATTGGATTAAATATCACTACCAGTTGCCAGCTGTGATAAGAGCTAAAACAAGGGGTAGTGTAGTCTCAAATTATAAATTTCTATTGCCTCATCTTTAGGAAAGCAAAAAAAAAAAAAAAAGGACCCAGTAGGGTCATAGTGTATTTTACACAAGTTTCAGTCACCTTAAGTGATTGAAGGTTTTGATATTCTATCCAGTCAGGTGGTAGTAATAAGCCTCAAATCCACAGATTACACAGTATTTTCAAGGTCTTTTTTTAATCATCCTTAATTCACCGAATAACCTCCATAGAGTAGGTTAGCACTATCCAAATGACTAGTAAGGAAGCAGGAAAATAGAAGATTCAACTGGGATGGTACTGCAAAAAGAATCCATTCTGTTCAGCACATGAATTTCTGTTCTGATCTTAAGTTTAGATATATCAAACAAAAAGCATAAAGGTGACTGGGTTCGCTGGCTAACGCCTGTAATCTCAGCACTTTAGGAGGCTGAGGTAGGCAGGTCACCTGAGGTTGGGAGTTTGAGACCAGCCCAACCAACATGAAGAAACCATGTCTCTACTAAAACTACAAAATTAGCCACGGGTGATAATCCCAGCTATTTAGGAGGCTGAGGCAGGAGAATTGCTTGAATCTGGGAAGTAGAGGTTGTGGTGAGCCGAGATCACACCATTGCACTCGAGCCTAAGTGACAAGAGTGAAACTCCGGCTCAAAAAAAAAAAAAAAAAAAAAAAGCATGTAGACAGTTGAACTACTGGCAGAAGACGGTCAAAGCATTTTTTTAAACCACTGTACATGATGTAAAGCTTTGAAATTCCTTAGTCCCAGTCAATTTCTCTACACGAAGAGTTATTTCATTAAAAAGTATCACTAATGAGAAATACAGGCAAGAGAAAAGAATATATAAACAAGTAATAATATCAGGTTAGATTTGCTTAAGGCAGGTATCTTTCCCATTTTCATGGTTGGAACACTCCTTGATTTCTGGGCCTATTTTACTTTTGAAATAATTTTTAAATTATTTGCATCTGAATTAATGGCTGAAGCATTAATGATTGCTGAAGAGAACCCTGAAACTTAATACTTAGCACATGTAACAAAAAGTTGATTTATCCATTCCTTACTGAGGTATCCTTGAGAAATGATCTTAAGAAGCAGGAGCAGTGACAATGACAGAATTAAATAATGGTCATGAATTACATACTGGGAAACAAAGTGTCATTGAGCAGAAAAGAAAGAAGCTGTTGCCATAAATTTGGGATACATAAAAATGGATTATATCTTCTATATTGTGGGATAAAAGAGGGGTGTAAGAAAACTTTGTAGGAGGTCTCTCCCAGTGGCATTTATGTAGGGCTGTGTTTAACGATCAACCAAAAGTAGTGAGTTATTTTTATCCTGTTTCCCCATTTAAGAGTTCTTGCAATTACTGGAACATCATCTTTTCAATTTTTTTTTTTTTTTAACTTTTTCAATTATTTAAATAGAGACGGGGCTTCACCATGTTGCCCAGGCTGGTCTTGAACTCCTGGGCTCAAGCAATCTGCCCACCTTGGCCTCCCAAAATGCTGGGATTACAGGCATGAGTCACTGTGCTTGGCCAGAACATTTTCTTTGCATACACTGACTTTTCTCCCCTTCGAGTCATCAGAAAAGGGGATAATTTTTAGAAATCAGGTTTAAGCACTCATTTCAGATAAGGATTTCATGGTTACAACAGTTATCTCAAAAATAGAAGTATGAAGAGTAAGTGAAAAATCTGGTTTCAGATTACACTAGGCAGCTCCCTATAGAAACTTTGCAGGGGCTAATAGTCCTGAGGAAGATTTTAGTTAGTATTCCAGTCCCATAGATCTGATCTGAGCAAAGCTGAAAAATAAATCTGGTCAAAAATAAAGGGAGATTACTCAGGATGGACTGAGTCTTAAACTTGTTTCTAACGGCCCATGGTAGGCATGACAACAGCAGGTGAGGAAAGTGTAGCATCTTCTTCTTTCCATTGAGAAGTAATGGTCTTTAACTGAGTGTAGAATTGGATGCCCTAAGAAAAACAGAAAAAAGGTTAGCATATATTTCTGGGGTTTCATGATTCTTCTTTTAATTAGCTTTTGAAGGAGGTATTATAAAGCGCTACGTTCCTAATTGAGTAATGCAACCCAAATCCAATATATTGTTCATAAGGTAATTGATCTAAAACATTTAACATAATATCTGGCAGATAGTAAACAAACCTTAGCCATCATTATTATGCTGAAACTAGTATTTCTTTCTTTCTTTTTTTTTTTTTTTTTTTTTTTGAGACGGAGTCTTGCTTTGTCACCTAGGCTGGAGTTCAGTGGCATGATCTCAGCTCACTGCAACCTCTGCCTCCTGGATCCAAACGAGTCTCCTGCCTCAGCCTCCCAAGTAACTGGGATTACAGGTGCATGCTACCGTGCCTGGCTAATTTTTTGTATGTGTTTTTAGTGGGGATGGGGTTTCACCACGTTGGCCAGGCTGGTCTCGAACTCTTGGCCTCAAGTGATCCGCCCTCCTCAGCCTCCCAAAGTGCTGGGATTACAAGTGTGAGCCATGGTGCCCCCGGCTGTAATATAGTAGGCCATTTCTTTCTTTATTTTTTTGAGATGGAGTCTCACTCTGTTGCGCAGGCTGGAGTGCAATGGCGTGATCTCGGCCCACTGCAACCTCCACCTCCCAGGTTCATGCAGTTCTCCTGCCTCAGCCTTCTGAATAGCTGGGATTACAGGTGTGTGCCACCACACCCAGCTATTTTTGTATTTTTAGTAGAGATGGGGTTGGCCAGTCTGGTCTTGAACTCTTGACCTCTGTTAATCTGTCTGCCTCAGCCTCCCAAAGTGCTGGGATTACAGGCAAAAGCCACTGCTCCCATTTCTGATAATTATCAGAGATCATGAGCTCTATATTGAAGTGGCAAACCCAAAGTATCTTACAAATCTAAGTAAAATGTCTGATATTATACAAATTCACTTCTAAATTACCTATATGAGCCCCAAAACTCAGCTCTCTCTGTATATAGATATAGTTTATTTTATAAGAGTAGGCTTGAGCAAAAGAGAATACTTTGTACAGATTTAACAATTATACAGTTACTAGCAAGCTAGAATGATGTTTTACCAGATTACCAGAGTAATTTATAATAATTAAACTGGGGGGTGCAGTCAGGAGCTGTGGCCTATGCCTGTAATCCTGGCACTTTGGGAGGCTGAGGTGGGCAGATCCCTTGCGGCCATGAGTTTGAGACTAGCCTGGCCATCATGGTGAAACCCCACCTGTACTAAAAATACAAAAACAATTAGTGGGCATGGTGGCTGATGCCTGTAATCCCAGCTACTTAGGAGCCTGAGGCAGAATTGCTTGAACCTGGGAGGGGGAGGTTGCAAGTGAGCCAAGATTGCTCCACTGCACTCCAGCCTGGGCGACAGAGCAAGACTGTCTCAAAAAATAACTAACTAACTAAATAAATAAATGGGAGGATGGGCAGGGAACAATTTTAAACAATAGTTGTACTCTGTTTTGCTTAAAAGAAATGTTTGTTACTAGTATCAAATTGGTCATTTTTACAAAAGCTGTGACTAGGCCAGGTGTGGTGGCTCACACCTGTAATCCCAACACTTTGGGAGGCCGAGGTGGGCAGATCACCTATGGTCAGGAGTTTGAGACCAGCCTGGCCAACATGGCAAAAACTTGTCTCTACTAAAAATACAAAAATTAGCCAGGTGTGGTGGTGCGTGCCTGTAATCCCAGCTACTCAGGAGGCATCGACAAGAGAATTGCTTGAACCCAGGAGGTGGAGGTTGCAGTGAGCTGAGATCACACCACTGCACTCCAGCCTGGGTGACAGCAAGACTCCATCTGAAAAAGAAAGAAAAACAAACAAACAAAAGCTCAAAATAAACAAAAAACCAAAAGCTGTGACTAACATACTAACTGGATAATTAGCCTCTAAATACCGAGGTGTTAACTATTTGGCCACACTGTCATAATATGATGCAATGCCATTGTTAATTTTTTAATAACCCAAACATAAATAAAATAAAAAAGTCCCACATCCCCTGCCCTCTGGCAGGATGCAGCTGGCACAGAAAAAAAAAAATTATTAACCTATAAAAGGGGAGACTTGTATAGAAAAAGATGCAATTTATTAATGAAGGTTAAAATGGCTGTATTCCTATGGGACTACAAAGAACTTCCCCTAGACTATTTGTTCAACAAATGTTTGGGCAGCCTGCTCTGTGCCAGGTACTGCAGATATGTAAATAACAACTACAGTGTGATGAGTGCTTCTTTACATGGCTTAAAGAGCTGTAGATGAGTCAACCCCTGCCTGCCTCTTTAACCTCATTTCTTCCCTTTCTTCTCATTTGCTCACTGTACTCCAGGCCATTTCCACTGTTGGAATGTGCCATGTTTCTTCCTGCCTTAGGACATACGCACCTGCTGGCAGATGTAGCAATAATAATAATAATTTTTTTTTTTTGAGACAGAGCCTTGCTTTGTTGTCCAGGTTGGAGTGCAGTGGTGCAATCTCAGCTCACTGCAACCTCTGTCTCCTGGGTCCAAAGGATCCTTCTGCCTCAGTCTCCCAAGTAGCTGGGATTACAGGCTCCTGCCACCACACCTGGGTAATTGTTGTATTTTTAGTAGAGAGGAGGTTTTGCCATGTTGGTCAGGCTGGTCTCAAACTCCTGACCTCAGGTGAACTGCCCGCCTCAGCCTCCCAAAGTGCTGGGATTATAGGCAGGAGCTACTGTGCCTGACCCACAGCAGTCCTTACATTATGAAATATATAGGTACTACTGTTATTCTTTTTATACGTGAATAAATTTAAGGGATAAAGAAGGTATCCCGGCCAGGTGCAGTGGCTCATGCCTGTAATCCCAACACTTTGGGAGGCCGAGGCAGGTGGGTCATCTGAGGGCAGGAGTTCAAGACCAGCCTGGCCAACATGGTGAAACCCTGTCACCACTAAAAATACAAAAATTAGCCAGGTGTGGTAGTGGGCCCCTGTAATCTCAGCTACTCCGGAGGCTGAGGCAGGAGAATTGCTTGAACTCAGGAGGCGGAGGTTGCAGTAAGCTAAGATCACACCACTGCACCCTAGCCCAGGCAACAGAGTGAGACTCTGTCTCAAAAAGAAAAATAAATAAATAAAATAAATAAAAGAAGGTATCCTCCAAAGTCACACAGCTGATAACTGGCTGAGCTGGGATTTGAACGCAGGCAATTTGGTTCCAGATCTGCTTAATTTTCCTCTTCAGTGCTATATTCATAGTGCCTAAAATAATGTCTGCTACAAAGAAGGTGTTCAATAAAATTTTTTTTGTAAGTGAATGACTATTACAGAAAAAATATGTACAATGGGAACACACTGGGGCACACTACCCAGCACTGAAGAAGGGGTGGTGGTGGTTGGAGGAAGTTTTCTGGAGGGGCCCATTTTTTAAAGTGAGACATGACAGATGATTAGGAGTTAGATGAAAGGGGAGAGATGGAGAAGAGGGTCACAAGCTGAGGAAATGGCATATACAAAGGCACTTCCCCATGCTCTTTCCTCAAAACTTTGTTACTTTGAGTTATTCAGGAAGAAGCAGCTTTGGCAAAATTTTGTTAACTTTTAAATCTTTTTTAGGTAACCTTCTGAGAAGCACTGATTATGACCCCACAGATGCTGCTGGCAGGCCCTTCCTTGCAGAATCCTTGCTCTTGAATATCTTTAAGAAAATTTCTTAAAGGAAAAGACAAGAATTTTAACTCAAAAGTTACCTGTTTGCCATAGAAATTGGTGTCTCCTCTGAAGGATGATCGAGAGCCGGTGAATGAGAACATTGGCAAAGGCACTGGAATGGGAACATTCACTCCCACCTAAAAGAGAACAAATCTATGTATCCTAAGGACAAAGGAACTCTCATTTAGAAGCACCAGTTTCCAATACCCGCCTTCTTCCCCATCCTCTACCTCATGAACTTTCATTCCTGAGGAAGGAAACAGGGCACTGTGGGAGGTCATGGAGGCAATCTTAAACCAATGACTCACCATTATTTACAGTTTCCTCTTAGGAAACAGAAAATGGATATAAGAATCTCTAAAAAATTCTGTTGACAAACCTGTCCAACATCCACCAGGTGGGCATATTTCCGAGCAGTGGCTCCATTGGTGGTGAAAATGGCAGTTCCATTTCCATATGGGTTGTTATTTACAATCTGGATGGCTTCATCCAATGTTTCTGTCTCCAGAACCACAAGAACTGGACCAAAAATCTCCTCTTTGTAACAGGTCATATTTGGCTGCCAGGAAGGATGCATCGAGAAAAGAAGTCAGCTTTTTGGATTCTGAGTATTTTATGTTTATTTGGTACTTTGACTTACTACACATCATTTACATGGACAACTTTCATATTATTAATCTCTTTTCATTTCAAATCACCTACTTTTTTAAAAAAAGTCCTCTCTTAAATGTGTTCCATCTTCCAAGCTACCAATCATATAAACAACTTGGAATTCCTATCAACAATAACCACACTTCCTTTAAGGCACTGTATTTTTAGTTCATGACCCATCATTAGCTTCCTTTTTAATACCCGAACAACTTGTTTCATCCAATTGTTATCAAAAAGTTACATGGAAATTTATTTTTTATAAAACCAATATATATTATACCAGAAGAATTTTTCTCTTTATAGAAACCCAAGCTGTTTTCTGTAACATAAATAATCCATTCTTACTCACTCCTTCCTCTGCCTCCCAAATAAGTCTGTATGTTTATATTTTGATATCAGGTCACACCTGAACACTCAAAACATCACTGTAGCTAATGTTTGTTGCTGATAAACGGATTTTTCTGTATAGTTCTGTGGCAAGAGATTTCATAATTTCTGCTACACTTAAATTCAACAGTTGGTGCTTCACTATTATATATGAATTTCAAAAAAAACTTCATAACCTCAATTTTTAAGTCATATTAGCTGAGAGACTTTCAAAGTTTTGATAAATAAAAATTGACAAGTCAATTATTTTCTCATTTTCAATAAATATTGGGTGGTTTGATATAGTGGTTGAGATACTGCAGTAGTCATAAGCTAGGCAGCAAGAGGGAGAGGGAAGAGAAAACTAACAAACCAGTATAAGATAAGATAGCATTTGGTAAACTATAGCCTGTGGGCCTAAATGTGGCCTAAATGTTTTTATACAGCCCCCAAGTTAAAAATGGTTTCTGCATTTTTAAATGGTTGAAAAAATATTTAATCATATATAAAATGACATGAAATTCAAACTTCAGTGTCTATAAAGTTTTATTGGAACACAGCCACACAATGTTTATTGCTGATCTCACACTACAATGTCAGATTTTAGTTGCAACAGACACTATATCCCTGCAAAGCTGAAAATATCTATCCGTTTATGGAAAGTTTGCAGACTTCTGGTATAGTGGAAAGAGTTTGGTTGGGAGTTAGTTAGAAGGGGAGACTCATTCAGATTCCATATAAAATAACTGATCAATCCTGGCAAGAGATGAGGTCTTAGTCATTAAGCATTTTCATTAATAAATTAGAGGGATGAGATTGTATAGCCTTTAAGGTGCCTTCAGCTGTCATATTTGTGGAACCAAACTTGTTCACCTTGACATTCGAGATGATGGTTGGTCCAACGAAGTTGCCATTTTCATAGCCTTTCACTTTAATTTTTCGTCCATCAAGAAGGATGGAAGCTCCCTCCTTTGTTCCACTATCAATCAGATTACAGACTCTCTCTTTGGCCTGGGGAGTGATCAGAGGGCCAAGATCAGCTCCAGGCTGATCTCCTGTAAAACAACACAGAAGTATTTAAGGTCCTCATTAACATAAATTGTGACTGCTGCCAGGGCTCATGCCTGTAATCCCAAAGCTTTAGGAGGCCAAGGGAGGAGGACTGCCTGAGCCCAGCAGTTCAGACCAGCCTGGGCAACAAAGTGAGACTTCATCTATACAAAAATAAAAAAATTAGCCAGGTGGTGGTGCACACCTGTGGTCCAAGCTGCTCAGGAGGCTGAGGCAGGAGGATCACTTGAGCCCAAGAGCTTGAGGCTGCCATGAGCTAGGATGGCACCATTGCACTCCAGCTTGGGTGACAGAATGCCTCTGCCTTAAAAAAAAAAAAAAAAAAAAAAGACTGCTATTAAGATGAATCCAAATGACAACTACAGTATAAAGACAGGAAATGGCCAGAATAGACATGATTGTTCCCACTGGCCAAGGCCAGTGCTAGAACCCAAGAGTTTAGTGCCACATATGCAAAATCTAAGCAAGCTAGGCAGGTGATTGATTACCTGCATTGACTCTCAGGTTTTTGGCACGCTCCACCAGCTCTGGCAGCCACTTCTTAGCTTCTCCCACAAGGACTGCTGTTGAAAGAGCCATGCAGCGCTGACCAGCAGCTCCAAATGCTGCCCCAACCAGCTGGTTCAGGGTATTTTCCTTATTGGCATCTGGCATGACTACCCCATGGTTCTTGGCTCCCTAAATACAGAAAGCACATGAGTCTTCCTTGGCCAATATAATTAAGCTAAGAAATTAAGTGAGGTGGCTAACGCCTATAATCCCAGCACTTTAGGAAGCTGAGGTGGGAAGGATCACTTGAGGTCAAGAGTTCAAGACCAGCCTAGGCAACATGGTGAAAGCCCATCTCTACAAAAAATTTAGCCAGGCATGATGGCGTGTGCCTGTGGTCCCAGCTACTTGGGAGGCTGAGGTGGGACCACTTGATCCTGGGAGGCGAAGGTTGCAGTGAGCCAAGATCTCACCACTGTACTCCAGACTGGGTGACAGAGTGAGACCCTGTCTCAAAAAAAAGGGAAAATAATTTATTATCTGCTGGGTTTTTCAGTTATATGAAGAGCAATGTTTAAAAAAAAAAAAAAAAGGGCTGGGGGTGGTGGGTCACGCCTGTAATGCCAGCACTTTGGGAGGCTCAGGCAGGCGGATCACCTGAGGTCAGAAGCTCAAAACCAGCCTGGTCAACATGGAGAAACCCCAACTCTACAAAAAAAAATTATAGTAATAATGCCCGTAACCAGCTGAAAAGCAAAACGGAAGGTAGACCTCAATACAGAATTTCAAGAAACAGGCCAGACACACTGGCTCACACCTGTAATCCCAGCACTTCGGGAGGCAGAGGCAGGCAGATCACCTGAGGTAGGAGTTCAAGACCAGCTTGGCCAACGTGGTAAAACCCTGTCTCCACTAAAAATACAAAACTTAGCCTGGTGTTGTGGTAGGCACCTGTAATCGCAGCTATTTGGGAGGCTAAGGTATGAGAATTGTTTGAACCCGGGAGGAGGAGGTTGCAGTGAGCTGAGAGCACACCACTGCACTCTAGCCTGGGTGACAGAGTGAGACTCTGTCTCAAAAAAAAAAAAAAAATAAGGTGATTGCCGGGCGTGGTGGCTCACGCCTGTAATCCCAGCACTTTGGGAGGCCGAGGCAGGCCTATCACCTGAGGTCAGGAGTTTGAGACCAGCCCGGCCAACATGGTGAAACCCTGTCTCTATTTAAAAAAAAAAAAAAAAAAAAAAAAATGTGATTAACATGACTTAGAATGAAACTCCTCAAAAAGTCCATTATTAAGGAGAAAACATTCAGGATGACATGGTAATTAAGAAACACTGACACTGAAGTGGGATGAGTGGCTGCTCTGCTTAAGGTCTATTCTTAGGTAATTTTAATATATAGAACAAATATTGGAGAAAAAAAGGAATAAGAAGTCACCATATTGGCTTGAACCCTCTTGCCATGTCTTGATCCTCTCTCGAAGATATACTCTCCTGCCTGGTTGGATCCCACAAAGCTGATTGCTTTAATGTCCGGATGATCGCAAATAAAATTTACAGCTTTAAGAAGAAAATAAATGATCACTGAAAACGAGCAAATGGATTCTCAACATGGCAAATTTCCCCTTTCCCCACTGCTATGGATTTGAAGTTCTCCTGTGTTTGTTAGATTCTATACTGGATTCTCATTGTGAAGTTCTCTTCTTCTTTATTTTAAATTCTATTTAGCCAGGTGGGCACGGTGGTGCACACCTGTAATCCCAGCACTTTGGGAGGCCGAGGCGGGTGGATCACGAGGTCAAGAAATCGAGACCATCCTGGTCAACATGGTGAAACCCCGTCTCTACTAAAAATACAAAAAATTAGCTGGGCATGGTCGTGCATGCCTGTAATCCCAGCTCCTCAGGAGGCTGAGGCAGGAGAATTGCCTGAACCCAGGAGGCGGAGGTTGCGGTGAGCCGAGATCGCGCCATTGCACTCCAGCCTGGGTTCAAACAGTGAAACTCCATCTCAAAAAAAAAAAAAAAAAATGAGTAAATCCTTTTCTCCTTACAAGTAGGTTCCTTATGCTAAAACATCCAATCATCACTCAACACCTTAATTTTTTGGTAGTCAGATTACATAGCCATATGTAGAAGGGCAATTACCTTCATGTTGTCCATGGATGATATTTAATGTTCCATCAGGGGCACCAGAATCCTGGAGCAACTTAGCAAGAAGCATAGTTGCTCCAGGGACTCGCTCGGATGGTTTCATTAGGAAGGTATTTCCACACACCATCGCCATGGGAAACATCCAAAGGGGGATCATGGCGGGAAAATTGAATGGAGCAATGCCTGCACACACTCCCAGAGGCAGACGGTAGGAATAAAGGTCCATGTCTTTGGTGATGGATGGCATGGTCTCTCCCATCATGAGGGATGTCACACTACAGGCATGCTCAACCACCTCTGGAACACAGAAGTCAGGCCATCAGCTCTCCACACTGTGTACTAGTTAGCTTTGTCATGTTCTCTTCAGCCCTGAGGACAGAGAGTGGCTCAGGCCAATGAAGGGACGCAGGGTACACTGACTGGACCTTCCAAGTTAAGGGTTTGTGCAAAATGAGATTCTCTGAATGGGAAAATACAGCAATACATATATACCGACTGGAAGATCATTTGAGTAAAGTAATTCAGTCTTAGGGATACTGAGTACTGCCATTTTTCACTAGTATTAAAAAAGATATCATGGGATGGCAAAATTTATATAAAGGAAGAAGCAACCTCCCATTCTGGGATCTTTGCCTCCCATCTTCCTTTGCTCCTTCCCAAAAGTCCCATAAGGGGCTCCCAGCTTACGAAGGCCTCGAAATACATCTCCTTCAGCATCAGCTAGGGTCTTCCCTTGTTCCAATGTGATTAACTTGGCAATTTCTTTCTATTGAGAAAACACATAAATAGAAATTAATGAAAGAATGTTCCTCTTTTAAATTCTCAGATAGCCAAGGAAGAATAAGACTGGAAGAGATGCAGTACAAGGGGGAGAGACATGATCAACGTCTCTGCCTACTGCAGAGTAAGGGAGGGTCGCTGAAAAAGTCTCTGTGAGAGTAGCAAACATGCCCTAGGCAACAGTTTGGAAAAGCATACCATTCAGATTTCATACCAAGTTTTCTTTAATAAGTTGTTGATAGCGGAGCAAGACCTGCTGACGGCTTAATATTGAAGTGTCTGCCCATGCAGGAAAAGCACGTTTGCAGGAAACAATGGCTGCATCCATTTCTGCCTTGGTGGCCTGAGGGACCCGACCAATTACCTCATTGGTGGCCTGATGAGAAAAATAAGCACATGATCCTTTGCCCCGACTCACTTTCTTCACTGCACATCTATTCACAGAAGTGGCACTATGTGCTTTATAACAGACACCCAGGTTCCTACTTGCCTATCATTTCCCTATAATTCTAGGCTCATTAAGTTGAAGTCCTAAAGCAGCTTCGCTTACTGGGTTGTGGATATCGATCCATTTGTCACTTTTGGATTCAACAAATTTCCCATCAATGAAGAGCTTTACAGTTGGCTGAAAAAAAAAAAAAATGAAACTTTGTATTAGTTAATAGCTTTATTTTTCCCTCTCCCTTTCACCAAAAGGAAAAAAAACAGGTTGATAATGGAATCTTCTAGTCTTTAGAAATGTTCCCACTAGGAAAGGGACACAGAGACACATAATATCTTTGTCTATTGTGTGTGTGCGTGTGTGGGTGTGTGTCTGTGTTTACTTATTTTTTTGGAGATACAGTTTTGCTCTTGTCACCCAGGCTGGAGTGCAATGGCATGATTGCAGCTCACTGCAACCTCTGCTTCCCGGGTTCAAGCGATTCTCCTGCCTCAGCCTCTCAAGTAGTTGGGATTACAGGTGCCCGCCACAACACCCGGCTAGTTTTTGTATTTTTAGTAGAGATGGGGTTTCACCATATTGGCCAGGCGGGTCTCAAACTCCTGACCTCAGGTGATGCACCCACCTCGGCTTCCCAAAGTGCTAGGATTACAGGCGTAAGCCTCTGCACCTGGCCCTTGTTTATTTTTATTTTTTGAGATACGGTCTCACCCTGTCATCCAGGTTGGAGTACAGTGGCATGATCATGACTCATTGCAGCCTCAACCCCCAGGGCTTAGGCAATTCTCCTACTTCAGCCTCCTGAGCAGCTGGGACTATAGGCACATGCTACCATGCCCAGCTAATTTTGTGTATTTTTGGTAGAGACAGGGCTTGGCCATGTTGCCCAGCTGGTCTCAAACTCCTGGGCTCAAGTGATCTATCCAGCTCTCTCAAAATGCCGGGATTACATCGTGAGTCATCATGTCCAGTGTATAGTATATATTAAGATATGGCAGAGCCTCTTGATACTGTGATCTCTCTCAGAATGGGAAACTCCTGCTATTCATACACTGGAACTTCATGACTGGAAACATGACATTGTGAAGCTTATACTGAAAAAGTAGCAACTCTGTTAACAAAGATTAGCTATTATGACTTTTTGGCCCAGCTGACTGTTACATTACTGTGAGCATATATTACCTTTATGATCAAAAGATTTTTGGCCAGGTGCAATTGCTCACACCTGTAATCCCAGTACTTTGGGAGGCCGAGGCAGGTGGATCACCTGAGGTCAGGTGTTCAAGACCAGTCTGGCCAACATGGTGAAACCCTGTCTGTATTAAAAATACAAAAATTAAGGCCGGGCGCGGTGGCTCAAGCCTGTAATCCCAGCACTTTGGGAGGCCGAGGCGGGTGGATCACAAGGTCAAGAGATCGAGACCGTCCTGGTCAACATGGTGAAACCTCGTCTCTACTAAAGCTACAAAAAATTAGCTGGGCATGGTGGTGCGTGCCTGTAATCCCAGCTACTCAGGAGGCTGAGGCAGGAGAATTGCCTGAACCCAGGAGGCGGAGGTTGCGGTGAGCCGAGATCGCGCCATTGCACTCCAGCCTGGATAACAAGAGCGAAACTCCGTCTCAAAAAAAAAAAAAAAATACAAAAATACAAAAATTAGCTGGGTTTGGTGGTGTGCGCCTATAATCCCAGCTACTCGGGAGGCTGAGGCAGGAGAATTGCTTGAACCTGGCAGGCAGAGATTGCAGTCAGCTGAGATCATGCCACTGCACTCCAGCCTGGGCAATAGAGCAAGACTCCATCTCAAAAAGAAAAAAAAAATTTTTTTAATGTTTCTATGTATTTTTTTCTGAGATATAGCTCACTTTCACTAATTTTTTTTTCTTTTTTAGATGTGGTCTCACTTTGTCACCCAGGTTGGAGTACAGTGGTACAATCTTGGCTTACTGTAACCTCTGCCTCCCAGGCTCAAGCAGTCCTCTCACCTCACCCTCCCACAAGGAGCTGGGACCATAGGTGTGCACCACCACACCTAGCTAATTTTTTGTAGAGATGGGGTTTCACCATGTCGCCTAGGCTGGTCTTGAACTCCTGAGCTCAGGCAATCCAACCGCCTCAGCCTCCCAAAGTGCTGGGATTACAGGTGTCAGCTACTGTGCCCAGCCTCTTTCACCAAATTTTTAAAGCAGTCTGTGAACAAAAAAATTGTGAAGATCTACTGTGGTACAGTGTGTGCATACTTCTATATGGAAAGAATTTTGAGCAATAGTTCTTATTTATTAGATTTTAGGTACTTGAAGTGATTGACAGACAAATGATCTGTAAAAACCACTTCAAAGGTTGTTAAGAAGAAGACAACTATCTGGCAGGGTCAGTGTAATCTCCAGGAGCCATGAAAATGTTTATATCTTTTGACACAGTAATCCTATTTCAGGAGGGAAATAATCCAGAAGGAAGAAAAAACTATATAAATAAATGTTTGTTTTATAATATGGAAAACTGAAGCAATCTAAAGCTTATACAGGGAAACTATTAATTCAGGCTATAACTATTTGATAGAATATTATTATAGCCATTAAAATTATAAAGACTGTCTTGCAATATTGACAATGCTTACTATATAGATCTAATATTAGAAAAGAAAACCAAGATAGAAAGTTTCACATACACTCTCATGACAATTACATAAAGAAGATGAATAGAGATACCCAAAAACTATACTGAATTTTACAGTCAATTTTCCTTCTCAGAAGTCAACTTTTATGCCAAATAAACTCACCACTGAAGAAGAGAAGGGAGATGCTGAATACCAGGGGGATTTCACTTTGGAAGAAACCTGTAAGGCAAAAGAATGATTATTTTGGTAAATGAGAGCAGAAAGTTATTTAAAATTTAGCAAATAGCTGCTATATGCTGAATATCATACTAGCTACTGTGGGGGTATGGAAAAGGACTTGATGTTTACTCTCAAAGGCCATATAAAGAGAAAAGATGGGGCTGGGCGCGGTAGCTCATGCCTGTAATCCCAGCACTTTGAGAGGCCAAGGCAGGCAGATCATGAGGTCAAGAGATGGAGACCATCCTGGCTAACATGGTAAAACCCCATCTCTACTAAAAATACAAAAAATTAGCTGGGTGTGGCAGCACGAGCCTGTAGTCTCAGCTGCTTGGGAGGCTGAGGCAAGAGAATCACTTGAACTCGGGAGGCAGAAGTTGTAATGAGCCAAGATCATGCCACTGTACTCCAGTCTGGTGACACAGTGAGACTTCGTCTCAAAAAAAAAAAAAAAAGAGAAAAGATGAATCTATGACACACAGCAAACTATGAACAAACAATAAACCAAAATAATCATGTCCTATATTCCCAGGATAGTACTGATCAAAAAAAATCTTTTTGTCATTGTATTTTCCTAACTTGGGCCTGGCAAATATACCATAATTCTAACAATAAGAAAATACTTAGCATGGTATCTAACACAATAGGTACTGAATTTAAGATTATATAAAATCAATGTGCTGGGCATGGTGACTCACGCCTGTAATCTCAGCACTTTGGGAAACTGAGACGGGTGGATCACTTAAGTCTAGGTGTTCAAGACCAGCCTGGGCAACATGGGAAGACCTTGTCCACAAAAAATACAAAAATTAGCCAGGCAGTGGTGGCGCATGCCTGTGGTCCCAGCTACTAGGTAGGCTGATTGCTTCAGCCCAGGAGGTTGAGGCTGCAGTAAGCCTTGATTGTGCCACTGCACTCCAGCCAGGGAGACAGAGAGAGACCCTGTCTCAAAAAAAATTTAGGCTGGGCGTGGTGGCTCACACCTGTAATCCAAGCACTTTGGAGGCCAAGGTGGGCGGATCACCTGAGGTCAGGAGTTCAAGACCAGCCTGACCAACATGGTGAAACCCCGTCTTAAAAAAATAAATAAAAATAAAAAAAAATTAAAAACAAACAATAAAATCAAGGTAAATATAAATATACTATAAATAAGAGTATGTAATCAATGTAAGTATAAATCAAATGGCATATAACCAAATGCAATTAAAATATGTCCATACAGATACATGAAAAATGAATGTTCATAAGACCTTTAAAATTTGTAGTAGCCCAAAACTTGGAAGCAACCCAATGTCCACCATGGGATGGATGAATAAGGAAACGAATATGGTATATTTATACACTGGAATACTACTCAGCAAAAAAAGGATTGAACTACTGATACATGCAATACAAATAATCATAGTAATTATGGCAAGAGACAGAAGTTAGATAATAAGAGTACATACTATATGATTCTATTTATGTAATACCAGAGAATGCAAACAAAAGTCTGTAACATCAGAAAACAGAACAGTAGTTACCTGGGGATGAAGAGGGAAACTTCTTGGGGTGATGGACACATGTTCATTATGTTGACTGTGATGATGTTTTCACAGGTGTATACAAATGTTAAAACTTATCAAATTGCATTTTTTATGTACAGATTGTTTTATGTCTTTTATTTTAGCAAAGCTGAAATAAGCTTTATTGAAATGCTATGTTATAGGAAAATGCTATACATACTTATTGAAATGCTATAAGTATGTTATAGGAAAAAATGTGTTGGATAGATAATATTTGATGGAGTAAAATCAGTAAATAGGGAGGGAGGATCAGTTTCAACAAGATAACTCTCAAATTGCAACTCCCTAAAAAAATGTCTGTATAGCCTGGGTGTGGTGGCTCATGCCTGTAATCCCAGCATTTTGGGAGGCTGAGGCGGGCGGATCACCTGATATCAGGAGTTCGAGACCAGCCTAACTAACATGGAGAAACCCCATCTCTACTAAAAATACAAAATTAGCCCGGTGTGGTGATGCATGCCTATAATCCCAGCTACTCAGGAGTCTGAGGTGGGAGAATCACTTGAATCTGGCAGGAGGAGGTTGCAGTGAGCCGGTATCTCACCATCGCATTTCAGCCTGGGCAACAAGAGTGAAATTCTGTCGCAAAAAAAAAAAAAATTCTACATATATGTTATCAAAGTTGATTTTTTTTTTTTTTTTTTTTTTTTTTTTTGAGATGGAGTTTCGCCGAGACTGGAGTGCAGTATCATGGTCTCAGCTCACTGCAACCTCTGCCTCCTGTGTTCAAGTGATTCTCCTGCCTCAGCCTGCCAAGTAGCTCAGATTATAGGTGTCCGCCACCACGCCCGTCTACTTTTTTTTTCTTTTTTTTTGAGACCAAGTCTAGCTCTGTCACCCAGGCTGGAATGCAGTGGCACCATCTGGGCTCACTGCAGCCTCTGCCTCCCAGGTTCAAGCCATTCTCCTGTCTCAGCCTCTCGAGTACCTGGGATTACAGGCACCCACTACCATGCCCAGCTAATTATTTTTAGTAGAGATGGGGTTTCACTGTTTTGTCCAGGCTGGTCTCAAACTCCTTACCTCATGATCTGCCCACCTTGGCTTCCCAAAGTGCTGGGATTACAGGTGTAAGCCACCATGCCTGGCTTTTTATTTTTTATTTATTTTTTTTTTTGAGATGGAGTTTTGCTCTTGTAGCCTAAGCTGAAGTACACTGGCATGATCTTGGCTCATTGCAACCTTCACCTCCAGGGTTCAAGCGATTGTCCTGCCTTAGCCTCCTGAGTAGCTGAGATTACAGACAGCTGCCACCATGCCCAGCTAATTATTTTTAAATTTTTAGTAGAGACAAGGTTTCATCACCTTAACCTGGCTGGTCTCGACTCCTGACCTCAGGCGATCCACCTGCCTCGGCCTCCCAAAGTCCTGGGATTACAGGTGCAAGCCACTGCCGCAGCCTATATGTTATCAAAGTTGATTTAAGACATACTTAAATCAATGATTTAAATGAGCAAACTAAAATACCCAGGACTGGGACATAAAGGAAAGCTGCAATCTAATTATCTTTTATCTTGCCCGAAAAGGGACTTGGCTAACCACATAGTTTAGGGCTGGTGCCTGCAGCACTGCCCAGGGGAAAAGGTGGTGGTCCTTTGGTCCAGCAGACAATCCTTCCAAATACCTCATTTGCTTGCTCTCCTATTCCCTACCAAAGCCATTTCAAACCACTGACACTCTCTCAGAGCCCATCATGTCTTCTTTACAGCCATGTTCCCAATACCAACATAGTACCTGGTAGGTAGTAGGTGTTCAGTAAATATCTGCTGAATAAAATAGAAACCCACTGCTGTCTGCTTCCTACCCCAAACTAGGTTAAGAGGGTTTTTTGGCCGGGCGCGGTGGCTCATACCTGTAATCCCAGCACTTTGGGAGGCCGAGGCGGGAGGATCATGAGGTCAGGCGTTCAAGACCAACCTGACCAACATGGTGAAACCCCATCTCTATAAAAAAATAAAAATTAAAAAAAATTTTTTTAAAAAAGAGTTTTTTTGTCCTCCCATTGCAGCTAATACTTCCCCTTTCAGGCTTATCTCTCTGTGTTGTAAATGTTTGGTGTCTCATTCCATTTTGTGTTGCCATAACAAAATACCCAAGACTGGATAATTTATAAGGAAAAGTAGTTTATTTAGTTCATGATTCTGCAGGCTGGGAAGTTCAAGGGAATGGCCCTGGCTTCTGTCCTGTGTCATAACAGAGAAGATCAAAGGGGAAGCAGTCCTGTGTGAAGAAGCAACACAGGAGGGGTATCCTGGCTTTATAGCCCACTTTCACAGGAACTAATCCATTCCCATGGGAACTAATCCAGTCTCAAAAGAGCAGGAATTCATTCAGTACAGCATCAAGCCATTCATGAGGGATCCACCTCCATGACCCAAACACCTCCCATTAGGTCCCAACACCACCACACTGGAGATTAAATTTCAACATTAGTTTTGGTGGAGACAAACCAACCATATCCAAACCATAGTACCTAGGTAACTTATCTGTTACCAAGAAAGATGGTCAGTTTCAGGAGGGTAGACACTGTATCCAACTTGTTCACCTGCTTTACAGAGTTAAGAATTATAATTGATCAGGACTGTCCAGTTATGGAAAAGTAGTTAGCACAAAGTTGGTACTCATTAAATATTATTGTTATGTCATTGTAAATAATCACATGGTAGCTTGTGCCTGTAGTCCCAACTACTCAGGAAACTGAGGCAGGAGGATCTCTTGAGCCCAGTTCAAGACCAGCTTGGGCAACATAAGACCCCATCTCTATAAATAATAAATAAATGCTTATTATTATTATTATTATTATTTTTGAGATGACGTTTCTCTCTTGTTGCCCAGGCTAGAATGCAATGGTGCAACTTCCGTCTCCCGGGTTCAAGTGAGTCTCCTGCCTCAGCCTCCCAAGTAGCTGGGATTACAGGCATGCACCAGCATGCTCATCTAATTTTTTTTTTTTTAAGTAGAGACAGGGTTTCTCCATGTTGGTCAGGCTGGTCTCAAACTCCCAACCTCAGGTGATCTGCCCACCTTTGACCCCCAAAGTGCTGGGATTACAGGTGTGAGCCACTGCGCCTGGCCCAGCTTTATCTTAAAACTCCCAACTCTACTACTTCCTCTTGCCCTTTCAGGAGCTGACTTTGTTTTTCTTACTTCAGAGCACACAGAAACCATCAGATGAGAACGTCTCGACTTCCTAGCAGCAAACCTACAACTTCCTAGTAGAACTCTACCGAATGGAGAAGGTACCCAGCAGGCTCCATGCAGGAAAAGTGACTGAGACAGTGGTGCATGATCAGTATGTGTGGACTGGATGAAGAGGAATATGAAGAAGAATATGCTTTTTTTTTTTTGAGACAGGGTCTTGTACTGTCTCCTAGGCTGGAATACAGTGGCATGATCATACCCTCCACCTCCTGGGCTCAACCATCTTCCTGCCTC